CTATCTTCTTACCTTTACTTATATCTAAAAACTTAATTTTACTTATGTCTATTGTTAACTTGAACATGTAATCGTTCATGCAATGTTTATCTGCACATTTTCATTATCAATGTCTACCCAAATATCAATTCAGGTGGTTCTCATTGAACTAACAGATACCCACTAAAAAAAATTTCTGTTATTGTTTTGAACTTTAATGCAAACGCTTTACTACACATTTTTGAAACTGATTCTATTAAGAAAAAAACTGACTGACTTCGGGGTCATGAGAGACTGAGTACCCTTCGGCACAGTACCATCCAGCAAGTATTGTAGAAATGTTTTTAGTTTTAAATATTCACACGAGATAGTTCTGCACTGGATAGTCGAACTTTAGCTTGCATCGTATCTGGCATCTAAGACATAAAATTGCACTCTATACAAATGCACATGTCGTGTAAGGGTACATCAAGTTTCTGCGAAAGTATGCCACGTCGAGAAGGACTCCAGAAGGTGAACTCCCCAGCCATTATACCGATTGATTGAAAATCACCTTGTGAATCGGTCCAAGTTTGTCTGTCTACACCTTCTGCTGCCTTATTTTGATGAAATATGGTAGACAGACGTGTTTTTGCCCAAGGACCGATGCTTTCGAAAATAGTTCGAATCGCATGACGTTTTCGATCACTTTCCATATAGCGCCTTATTTTCCAAAGTCGTTATGTGAGCAACTGTAGAATGCTGTAGGGTATTTCATGGTGAATCGCGACTCATTATAACCTTTTTACTTGTGACTACTAAATCGTCGTAAAACTAGACGAACCGAACGAAAAATCTGTTGTCGTTGAAACATGACTTGTCTAATATCTTCAGACCTAACCATTGCTCATCTTGTTTTTCTGTCAATTACTTTTTAAGACAACTTTGCAGAATTTTAGAAAAGCATTTTATAAGAAATTCGATTAAATTTCTGTTGTAAAATAAAGAACAAATAATTGCAAGCACTCGCCTATGCATATTGATGGCAAAAGTTGCTCGATAGCAGAAAAGCAAAAAGCATTTTGCAAAAAAAGAAAAACATTTATGTGATAATTTTATTCTTTCTATAAATTTTTAATCCTTTCGCATCTGCACGAAATGTTCGCGTAGATCATATTACTTATACATACATACATATAAGTCTTTAATAATTTGCAATAGTCGTAGTATTTATGTAATTTAATCTCTTTATTGTTGCATAAAAGTAAAATTTATCCCAAAATCGCATATGCAATGCATAAGTAAAACATTTGCTGCTGAAAATTTTTGGGTGAAAATCTCAAAAAAAAGGAAAACCTCCTCTTTATTAGTGAAAAATTAAATGATTGGGAAAATATTTAATTAAAAGATTTGATACGAGGACGAGGACGAGTACGGGGACGGGGAAAGAAACTCTTCAGTTTGTTTGACTGACAAATCAATAAGAAAATTAACGCCAGCCATCCAGGCAGATTTTAACTACCACCACGATGAACTGCAACTGCCCGTGAAAGGATAATCCGCAAGCAAAAGGCAACAAAATTGTAATAGAGAGGAATAATAAAAAAAAAAAAAAAAAAAGAAAAACAGTAAACTCATCATCTCTCTGCTATATATATTTGCGAAGTCTCTAACATATTGCTACGTTATGTTACCCTCTTTATCATTGTGCTGAAACCAGACCAGAGCTAATTTACTTTACACGCATACATAACGCAATCTAACAGAAGACAAGGAAGAACAAATAACGGAAGCAAATAAGCGCAAATCCACAAAGTGTCCCTTAAATGAGGCTTAAATTCGCTGTATATAGATAATTCCAATTAGGGCCTCGTTGTCACACTCTACCCTAGGCGCTCTACATAAACTGTCATCTGTGCCTCCGAGTACGAATTGACAGACACATCGACAGACAATCCAATCAATAGAATAAAAAAAAAAAAAAAAAAAAAAAAAATTAAAACTAAGGCTCAGGTAATTTTGATATTTTGGATTATTCTTCATACTATGTTTATATAAATGTGTGTGCGTGTGTATGTGTGCATGTGTACATAACCGGGAAACACTCGAACTTGTGTTTGTGTACAAATCGTAAAAGCAAGTTTGTTTTTACCGTTTGTTGATATTTCATCCATACATTCCTAACTGACATATCTCTGCGGAGATATCTTTTACTTTTCCTTTCCTATTATTGTTATTATTATTTTATTTCATTATTGTTTCGCTTCTCTAAAAAGTGAATCTCAAGTTCCGTTTGGTGTGAAACGTTCACTATTTCAATTGCAAAAATAAATATTAGTTTTCTTATTGTATTCGTATCGCAAAACAAGGTATTATCTCGTATACGTCAAAAGTAAAAAAAAAAAAAAAAAAAAAGGTGCAAAGAAAACTCATTTTCATTGCTTGTATGTGTAAGGCAGACAATTTTGTTATGGTTTTTATTTAAATCCTCTCGAACAATAAAAATGTGTTAAATTTAAAATAAAAAAAAAATAAAAATATAAAAAAAAAAAAAAACAGAAAGACAAACAAGAACAACTAATAAGAAAAGATATTCAAAATTTTGTATATTGTTAATAAAATCCATAGAAAAACGAGTAAAATATATCACCTAATCCTTATATTCAGATAAGCTTAAGATGATCTCTCATGTCTTGTTTTTATTCCTTTTGTTTTCTCTTTATTATTACATTTATTGTATCAATTGGCCAAACAATTTTCCACATATGCGTTATCTGTATGTATATATGTACGTGATATCAAATAATCAAGTATATTAGTATTGAAAACACGAAACCAGTTTTCTTCCTTTCCATCGAAATCTGAGATAACTTGTTTCAGCCGTAGCTCTGGCTAGTTTCTGGCCAGCGCGAAGAAGTGTTAGAAGTGTTAGCAAAACAAATCATTTTAATATGCAATCTTTCACTAAGGAACACAGAACACAGACAACAACATCCATATAGTTTCACGCAGATAATGCGAATGTGTTAGTCCACCGGAAAGTTCTGTTCGTTCCGATTGCATATTTGGCTTCCACTTTTTGTCACTGAATGTATGCAAATTGACTTAGCAAATGAACTAAAGCGAAGATGATTTCGGGTAGCATTGAGTGAAACGCGATCGTGTACTCGTGGCCATGGTAAAGTTCGTTTACGCCATTGGGTTTTGTACTAATTCCAAGAAGGGAGAAATGCGACTGATGCGTGCAGAAATTAATTGAAAGTGTTCCTGATAGAAATTGCAAAGGATGGCTCGAAAAATTTCAAATTACTTTTAGAATTTTTGTATTGAGGAACATTATTGTCATTGCATTCGAGATAGGCGATAAGAACATACCTGTTGTTAGTCAATACTACCTACACGTGATTAAACCACAATGTTTACAATACTTATGTTTAGCTTTTTTTCGCTCCGTTCGTTTGTAATATGAAAGCAAAGTTTATAATTACAGCTTGAAAATTTGATCCAAAATATTAGAATGCGTTTTAAATACTTTTCATTTAAGTCTTTTCGTTGAAACGACGGTTACGCTCTTAGCTCGATAGTTGATGTAAATCTTTACATTAAGGTTGGATGCATCATTGGAAATGTAGTGTAAATTAGTTCGGAGGTTCGGTAAGTTTTTAAAATCACACAGTTTCCAAAAAATTTCTCTGTTGTTGTTGCATACGCGATTCTTTAATTTAGATATGATAATAAGGCATCACTGACACGGCATGGCATTCTCAAGCCATAGTTGCATACGCTTAACCACCAGCCGACTTTCGCAATATGAGTTTAGTTTTTTGATAAGAGATAAGTTTATGTTCAACACGGAAGGACGGATGAACAAATATACAGATTTGTCATTGCCCATACGAAAGATATAACCATGTTCTGTAAATCCATCTTTTCGATGGCTGCCCTGTCAATGAAAATTTAGAAAAAAGACTAAAAGTTCGCTCATATAATCGTATTTGACGGAGTAATCCTTCTTTCTTCTGCGCCCAATAACGAGCAATTGTAACATAGGCTCATAACATCGCACGATGATCTAATATTTACCAAAGCTAATTAAAATTGATTCGCTGGAAGGCTTGCAGTTACAATATCTTTTCAACTGGTTGTGTATTAGCCGGAACTACTAATTATCCAGCACATTGTAGTGAGAAAATGTTAAGGGGGGGAAAGAAGGTCCCTACGGAAAGTGAGGTAGCTGATGGGGACTAATTTTAGCTTTAAATAGTCTTTGAAAATGCTTCTAGCAGGATCTGGCGGGTAGCTATAGTTTGCCAACTCGGGATATAAATACAAGTTTTCCCTAGTCTTAGTTTTAGGTAATCCTTCAAAACACTATATTTTGCTCAATATCTTTTAGAGACTGTAAATTAAGAGTACACATCCTAACTGCCACACCCTTGCTTTTTAAAAGGTCTTGCGACTGGTCAGTACAAGCGGAAAAAGAAATCTGTTATGCTTGCAACTTTTTAAGACGCACACATTAAGCTGCGGCAAATATCGTTTCTTTCTCTTTCCTTTTTTCTTTTTAGCTAAAGCCTGTCTGTCCTATGGATGACTGAATGATTGGTTATGTATTTTAACAAAAAACAGTTCTTCTTTAAAGATAATGTGAAAGCAAAGGCAAGAAATAGCTATACGACATAGGCCAGATATAGTATCTTTCCTTTGCCATGTCCGTCCGTCTGTCTATCATTTGAATTTTCGCAACTGCGGAAGTTACGATAGATATATAAAGCTCGGCGTATTTATCCGGTTTTAAATGTTCCTCGTCAAGATTAAAGGCGTGTGTACTACGCCCCAAAAACCCAAACAACACAAAAAAAAAAATCAAACTTTTTACAAAATTTTTCGACATACTTTTCAGGGCATGATTTAGATACTGAAATGGAAGAGAGAAGAAAGCAAGTTTTCCTTTCTTCCATGCTGTAAAGATTGGCTTATTTCTCAAAGTTTTTCTCTTCTATATATATACATTTTTTTTTAATACTAATTTCTGTACTTACATCCCAGACGTTCGTTTCGTCTGCATGTCCGCTTACAGCAAACGGGCCGAATCGTGTTCCACGTCTTAAATGTACTTTGGTATAAACACCATTTTCTCGTGGTTCCAAATCACAGATAGGTTGTAAACGGGCTACGCACAGCAACAGGCGTTCAGCCTGTAATTTACTATTTAATAAGTGTTCCACCTGAGAGTGGGAAACAACAGCGGCAGGGGCATGACTCGGTAATGATGTATTGACTAGGGGAACGTTCGGTGGTTGCGTTGAGTTCTCAAACGACAATCGCCCTCGGGGTGAAGTACTAGGACGACAGCCGTTCGGCAGCGGGGGCGGTGGCGGTTGATAGGGTAAATCGGAATTATTGGGAAAGTTTAAGGTATGCAATGGGTTCGTCGCACTCAAATTATGAGGGAATTGTCTAAACGCTCCCAATTCGTAGTCCTCGGTGCTGCTGCCTATAAAAGAAAAGCAGAAAAGAATAACGTAAGAAGAGGAAGAACTTGAAATAGAAAAATTTGCATTAAATTAAGAATGAAAGCATTTCTCTCCAGAAAATTAAATAAATATCTATTGAATCTTCGCTTGGAAAATATCGTAACAGGGCATAAAAGAAACCGCCAGATAAATAATTGAATCTTACAGCACAAGCATAGGCAAACAAACAATGAATTTGTTTCGAGTGTTCGAAACACAAAACACAAAAATTCACACATTTTAACGCAAACTGTAAGCTAAACTGTAATAATTGAAAGCAAAATTCAACGCACAACCGTTTTTGTGGCAATATTAGCGCCGAATTAGGCCAAAATAAGACAATTTAGGTAAAATTTCAAGAAAAACAAAAAGAGAAAAGGCAAAGCAAATGCCTTATGTGTATATATAATCTACGGTTCCGACATTTTTATGCACATTTGGTTAAATAAAAACATCCTTTCAAACGAAATAAGACAACACAATTTCTTACATAATCTTGCGAAAGATTATATATTTTACAATAAATTAGAAAACATACACAAAGATAACAAAAGATAACCATGTGAAAGTTTCAAAGGTGCTCACTTGACGTTTTTGTTTTTGTTTTTGTTTTTTTTTTTGTTTATTTATTGTGTTGTCTATCATTGGTTTCGCTAGCTTGAAAAGCAAACGCTTGTCAATTACTTGATAAACCTCTAGCAACATTGTGACGCAAAAGCACTTTATATCTCTATCCTTTATTTAGAAGGCACAACAATAACTTCAAAAAAATAAAAAAAAAAAATTAAAAAAATAGAAATATCAATCTATTATGTACGTTAGTAAGTGATTGTCATTTTTGAAGATACTTTGTGAATGCGATTTGATGGACACCTCAAGCGATAAGATGCCAATTTTGTCTTTAATTTATTGTCTTGATTGCAGCCGATAATGCAAAGCATTTCCGTATAAAAAGATATATAAAAATTTGATAAATATTTTCAACCTTCGTTATCGTTCACACACAGTTATTTGAACTGTATTGTCCCCTAAGCCCTCATTACAGAGTAAATTGTACACTTGATAGTAGATAATTCTCCGATTGCTAAAGAATGTGTCACGCACTAGAATTAGCTTACACTTGTTTACTCTTCACACTAATTTGCTACTAGGGCTCCATGTTTTCTCTTTCAGTAGTAAATATAAATATATATGTATAAAGTATATCGATGATATAGAAAATTGAAGTTTGGCACACGGAAGACAAATTTTACTGAAGAGTTTGCAGCAGAGCAGGACAAAGTAGAGATTTTGTGAATGAATTCAAAATCCTGGAAGACTTGAAATAAACTGGCTTTCTATTAGACTAACTGCATGCCTGTCTGTCGGTCCATCCGCTCGTCTTGTCCTCTTTCAAGCCACCTTGTTGCAAGTTCTATCAAAAGCACTTTCAACTAATTTCTACACTCATCTGCAGCACTTCCTTCTTCATCGTCTGCCATTCACACGTCGCCCAATGGACATCCTATTGCGGTGGATCCTTTTGAGGTAATTTTCGAAAACTTGTCAACACTTGTCGGCCTCAACCTGACGGATGATCGTTTTCAAAGCGTGAAAAGTTCGAGGACATACGTGTATATGTAAAGACACATTTACATGAAATATGTGTAGCATTGCGTAGAATCAAACCCCATTAACTCATACGCGGCACTTTATTCTATAACATCGTGTGTTATAGATATTATATAGTAGAAAATACAATCATAATTATTTTGTCCCAACCGGACAGAACAACGATGTCCGCTATATGCTAGGATGAAGTATTTTACGCAGTCACAAATGACGAAATATATAGCATTGAATGCATTGAAAAAATACTTTTATTGTTCTAAGGGAATTTGATGAAGGCAGGCCAAGACCAAATCGAATTTTTATTTTTTTTTTGAACTTTTATATGTCTTTCCTTAATTGTCAACTTGCAAATAGAAATCCAAATTCATTTCATGTGTAGAATAGAATTACGTAAGTATCTTTGTAAACGAAACAGTTGTGCTTTGTTTTGCTAAATGTTTCAAATACATCGAAATTGAAAACCCCATCAAGCACATAAATTTTTCGGCTATCGGAATAGCGAAATCGATTTGGATGGATGTATGTGCGTTTCATCTGCTCACACGCACAATTACGATCTTAAAAGTGTTAGGTTGTTAGGGAAGTGATTCCGTGAGACAATTTTTTTACACTGGATAAATATATTATTATGAACGATGGAATTCGATATATGTAACCTCTCGGCTCTCAGATCTTACGGAGATCGGTGGTCCCCGTCTTCTTTGGAAGAAGAAACATTGTCTTAAATTTGTTTCCTATCCATTTTAACTTAGTCTAAAGTTCTAATTTTTTCCTTAACTTTTTTCTTAGCATCTTTCAATAATCGTTCAACTGCAAAAATGAGCAAAGTCGGTCCTTCGCTAAGTAAGAAGCTGATTGTTTTTTCGCCCTTTTCCAAATATTAGACTCAACATTTCTGGTTAGTTTATACAATTGACACATTGGGTATAGCTTCTTGATAGGTATTAAGAAATTAAGACTAGAAAGTCTTGCGTTTATTAATAATACATATATACAAATACTGTTTCTTCTGAATGAATTATCCATTTTATCGATTGAATTTCCAAATCGTTTCGTATATAAAAAATAGCAGTAAGTTTGGTTTGGGACTGAAAGCAGCCATATTTTTTAGAAAACTATATGATTGAAGCTGTGGCTTACCTCCGTTCGATACCTATTTAGTTGCAATCTTTACTTAAACATGTTCAACTAAACAACGTATTACTTGCAAATGAGAATAGTTTTAAAGAACTAGTTGCAATATATCGAACATATATTGATAAAATGGTAATTTTAGTTCGTTCTTAACGGCTGAATTTCTTTCAATGCCAAGCATCTGCTTATGTGAAGAATACCAATATGATATTCTTTTCATTACATGCATATAATGTATGTATGATGTATTTATTCATTTTGAAAATGTTAATTTTCGCGAACAACAGTTTCAAGCAATTACGAAAAACGTTCCAATTTCGATGAATCGTCAAACCGAATAACATGAAATCTCTGTCAATTGTCAATCGCCGTTTTAGCAAAAAAGTTTACTTTGGTTGTGACGAAAAACTTTTAATTGCCTGACGAATAAAATAAAGTTTTAATTGACGTTATATATATATATTTATTATATATTTATATTTATATATTTATTATCATATATATATATTTATTTATTTATTATTTATATAGATATTATTGTAAAAGTGCGCACTCTTTCAATGTCCTTTGAAGCTATTTCTGCCCACAAGTCAAGTATATATGTACAAATATCTGATTATATAATACGACTAATTGATTTTTATAGTTTCGATCCGTTTGACTGCGGAATATCTAACTGTTTTGCAACAAATTCCCATAGATTGTTATATAACATAGTGTAACAATGTATAAATGCTTCGGAAAATTTGATATTGAATAAAAGCGAAACTTTCTCAAATGCTTTTGAAAACTTTGTAATGGAATGCATTTCGCAATAATTTTTCGAATGCAAACATTTCGGTTTTCGTCCTTCGAACCAAGTCAAAGTCAAGTTATTTAACAAAACTACGAAAACTTTATCTCTAATCTTTCTAATATTGATATCAGTTATTTTGCTTAGGGAAACCCGTAAGAGTAGTCCAGGTGGCAAATCGACTAATTCCACTTTTTCATTTTTTCCTTACGTAATGATGTTAAAGCTTTTAACAAAGTATCAAAGTTTTCTTTTAATATTCTTCTGGTCAGATTTTGGCTTTGTTTATGTTGCGACGAATAGTCAACGTGACTACAATCAACATGTTACATATGTGTAATAAAGCACTGTTCCGATGCAAAACGGTGCAAAATTTGAGAATCTTATCAAACAACAACGCGAATAAGATTAGTAAAAACGGGGGACGCCAGCAATTATATTTCTTCGACTGACATCATCCTAACGGGCATCTGTGTCACATCTTATGTGAATATTTTCAATAGTTGATAAGCTTGTGTGGTTTCATGCGATAATTGCATTTTAGTCCTCGCAAGGTAGTCCTCGGATTACTTTTTTTCAGTTTCGCAAAGTACCATAAAGAAGTCAGACAAATGAGGCTGTTGCCAACATGTGTTGCATTTCTGCCGAAAATGTCTCGAAGAACCAATGCGGTGTGAGAAGATGCATTATCGCTATGCAAACATTTATAATGATGATAAGGAAACTCTTCTACCGAAGACATGACGGTCAAATTCTACTCTTGTCAATTCAGTCTGGTCCGGCGGAAGAAAGTCATAATAAATCAAATTCCGAACATTAAAGAAAATCTTGTAGTAGGATTTTTTAAACACAATTTTTTAAAGGAAAATATGAATAATGAAAAGCACTAATAAATGTGAGGACTGATTCCCTTATTCTTTTGCTAATCCGTATATTTGGCAGGTTTTGAATCTTTTTAAGATAAGGAAATGAAATTTGCCGCAAAGATTCTTTGATCAATTACGAAACCGCGGCTAAAAAATGGGTGCGATCTGCTCACGTGTACGCCGACAAAAAAAACTGAAACCACCTCGGAGAACTGCGACTATTCTCAACTATTCTTCTATAATTTGCAATTCCATGAAAATATTTCTGCAAAACTATAAGCTAAGGGTCTATAGGGTACTATAGGGTATTATAAAATCTTAAGAGGAAGTCAGCTGGGTGATCGTCTATGCAGCTCAATAAATTCACATAAAATGAATTTATTCACTCAACTATCTGACAAAGAGAATCTGTTCTAAAATAGAGGGATTTTAATAAATTTTTCTTCACTATATAAAAATGTTAAATTTTAATATATCGTCGCCTCACATGGAAAATCTTTAATTAGTAAAAGGTAGCATGAGAAGAGGTACTTACTCTAAATATAAAATAAAGAGCAAGTTCAGAATAGAGAATAGA